TTTAGATCTCTTCTACAATTGTTCTCTATAGAACAAATTCAGCAGTAGAATTCAAGGGCATTTGGTAACCATTTGAACTGTTAGTCTATAAAATACCAACAACGTAACCTAATTTAATTTGGATAAATTGCATTTTATATTCTCATGTTTGGATGCAATTGCAACTTCATACAATATATTTAAAAACACTTTAATTACATACATTTAATTATTACTATTTTTTTAATTTGAATTTCGTACAACTGTTAGAAAATCTGTTAACGAGTTTCTAAAAAGGAACTATCAATCTTAATTTGTAGGAACATACAAAGAAAAGAAAAGAAAAAACCTCGTTGGAATACTATAGAGGTTATTGGAAGTGTGCCATAAAAGCCAGTTATAAGAAGATATTCACAAACATTTCATATATTAAATTTATTTAGTGTAATTAACATGCAAGGTTATTGTTTATAACTATCTCATTAAGAATTATATGTTTAAACATGAGAGAATATAATCTAAAAAAGTCAGATTTATAAGACATTTCTCTCTCATACAGTCATACTCATATCTAAATGTTCCTAATTGTATCTGTAATGATATGTACATATTATGTCTTCTAATTCAAAAGAGTAATTCATGTCAAGTCATTTGTATGAAGTTACTAAGTATGTAGATGCTAAATGGAGCGTTAGTTCAGTAAACGCGATCAAATGAGAGTTCTTATATGAATGTTTTACTCTTATTATATGTCATATTAGAAACTCTATAAATCGATGCAATAATGTAATTAATCTTTAAACATGAGGTACTATATCCCCATTGGCTTTTTAGTTTGAGTTGTGTATAACAACTTAAAACAAAAGGCCCGAAGTCCAAAGACAATACAAAAACATCCCAAAACTTTTGGAAATGAAAACGTAATACAAAATACCCAAATTGACCAATTTATGAATAGACTCATACAAAATACGATTACACCAATCGTAAATCGGTTGGGTCAAAGCGAGCTAGCTCGTTGTATACTTCTAAAAATGTTTGAGAGATAAAAATAGTAAAATAGTAAAAGAATGTTGAAATCTTAAAAGTCCTTGTGAATAACAATTGGCCGAGTACCTTATATCGAATTAAGTTATCATTTTCAAATTATCGCGTCTCGAATTCAAACCATTTTCGTTTCTATTCTAAATTATAATATTATTAGCTTGTAATAAACAAAAAAATCCTTTTGAATAAGAAAATGAAAAACCTAATTGACCAAAAAAAGAAAAAACAGAAAGGCATTGTGAAATGGAGGATGAAGCCACTAATCCACATTACCAACCACACATAACAATCCCAAAAGGACAAAATGGTATTTTCAGCAAATGCAAGCCCTATAAACCCCAATCGTCGGTTTGCCACCACCACCCCACAACCACCTCTCTCTCTCTCTCTCTCTCTCTCTCTCTCTCTCTCTATCTATCTTCTCTGCCTCCGTTTTTCTTCCTCCTCCTTTCTTCTTCTCCGATCCGTCTCCATGGAACCAGTAAACGCGTGGGGCAACTCCTCCCTGGAGAGCGTGGACCCCGAGATCCACGACCTCATCGAGAAGGAGAAGCGCCGCCAATGCCGAGGAATCGAGCTCATTGCCTCCGAAAACTTCACCTCCTTCGCCGTCATTGAGGCCCTCGGCAGCGCCCTCACCAACAAGTACTCCGAAGGCATGCCCGGCAACCGCTACTACGGAGGCAACGAGTTCATCGACGAGATCGAGAACATGTGCCGCTCGCGCGCCCTCCAGGCCTTCCACCTCGACGCCGCCAAATGGGGCGTCAACGTTCAGCCCTACTCCGGTTCTCCCGCCAACTTCGCCGCATACACCGCCGTCCTCGAGCCCCATGACCGCATCATGGGATTGGACCTTCCCTCTGGTGGTCACCTGACCCACGGGTACTACACTTCCGGAGGGAAGAAGATCTCGGCGACCTCGATTTACTTCGAGAGTCTGCCTTACAAGGTCAATTCCTCAACTGGGTTCATCGATTACGACAAGTTGGAGGAGAAGGCCTTGGATTTCAGGCCAAAATTGATAATTTGCGGCGGCAGTGCGTACCCCAGGGACTGGGATTACGCAAGGTTCCGCGCCGTTGCGGATAAGTGCGGTGCTCTTTTGCTCTGCGACATGGCTCACATTAGCGGCCTTGTTGCTGCTCAGGTATGTGTTGTTTTGTGAATCTTCTGTGTCATTGGTTTATCAGATCTGATGGGTTTGCGTAATTTTGATGTTTATGAATTGGGTTTGTGTGATTAACTTGGGTGGCTCAGCAGATCTGGTTTTTTATTTCGATTCGATTAGATTGTTATCTGTATTCATTCGCATTTCTTATGATCCAATCTGAACACCTTTGATTTGATTTACTTATCAATGTTTTGGTTATGTTGTTTTGCATCAAAATCTTTGTTCCGGAAATTCTGATAAATTTGGGTCATTTTTTCACTGGGATGCAAATGGAAATGGACGTAATTAGTAAAAACATGTGTGTTCTTGAGGGGATGAAATTGGAAAAAATAATTTTCTTTTGGTTATTTAACTATGAAGGAGATCTGCACTGCACGTGTTTTTATTGTCACGGGAACACGAATGGTACCTCACTTGTTATACGTGTTATGTAAGCGGTGGGAAGTTTTATTTTTTAAGTAATTAACTTTTTAACACATATATTCCATCATTTGTATAATAACACGTAGGCATACCATCCCGTATGCTTGTCATTGAAAAATCTCTCCTAAAAACCTGGATATTGACTTGTGTCGTTTTGCTAGATTCGGATTTCCATAATTTTTCTTTTTTAAATAAACAATGAAGTTTCATGAAAATCTAATTTTTGATTTACGCATCTGTGTTTCAACTTTAAGCTATAGCAGGGGTAAATTTTCAATTTTTCTTCAATAGTACAGTGGTATGGAAAATGAATGGTTGCGATTGAAATAGAAGATCTAATAGTTGTGGAAATCAAATCCAATGGCTAAGTAAGTGCTACATAGCATTGAAACCACACCCTTAAATTTCATTTGTAACTCTAAATTGCATTGCATTCGAATAATTAGTGACATTGTTTTTTTGTCCATAACACATAATCGGTGCAGCCTTGTATGTAGTATTGAATTATTGGCTTTGCTGTGCTCGTAATAGGTTGTATGTTTACCGTGTTTAATTCCCTCTTTCTTTGGGTATAGGAAGCTGCAAATCCTTTCGAGTACTGTGACATTGTCACAACCACAACCCACAAGAGCTTGAGGGGTCCTAGGGCTGGTATGATCTTCTACAGGAAGGGACCAAAACCACCCAAGAAGGGCCAGCCCGAGGGTGCAGTTTACGACTTTGAAGACAAGGTCAACTTTGCTGTTTTTCCCTCCCTTCAAGGTGGTCCTCACAATCACCAAATCGGTGCCCTAGCTGTTGCTCTTAAGCAGGCCATGACACCCGGGTTCAAGGCATACGCCAAACAAGTCAAGGCCAACGCTGTTGCCCTTGGAAACTACCTGATGAGCAAGGATTACAAGCTTGTCACAGGAGGAACAGAGAACCACCTTGTTCTGTGGGATCTCAGGCCTCTTGGTTTGACAGGTAAAGTGTTCAATTGTCTCGAATCATAAATGTGATGACCACGAGCACTTCTTTTTCTGTTAATACAATTCTAACTCTTTGATGATGTTCTTCAGGCAACAAGGTTGAGAAGCTTTGTGACCTGTGCAACATTACTGTGAACAAGAATGCTGTTTTTGGTGACAGCAGTGCCTTGGCTCCTGGCGGAGTAAGAATCGGTAAGAACTGCTATATAAATTGGCTTTTCCTCTGCTATATAAATTTCTGCATGGAATGAAATATCACATTGTACTTATCGACCATGGTAGTACGGTGTTCATAGACATCCTTGCTACATTTGTCCTGAAACAAGTTATGTGATGGTTTAACGACAGGTGCCCCGGCTATGACCTCGAGAGGTTTGGTTGAGAAGGATTTTGAGAAGATAGGGGAATTCCTTCACAGGGCCGTAACTCTCACCTTGAAAATCCAGAAGGAGCATGGAAAACTACTCAAGGACTTCAACAAGGGTTTGGTGAACAACAAGGACATTGAAGAACTCAAGGCCGATGTCGAGAAGTTCTCAGCCTCGTTTGACATGCCCGGCTTCTCCTTGGCCGACATGAAGTACAAGGATTAAGCGTAGGTATCCGCTATTCTATTATTTTCTCTATTATTTCCGGGCCTTGCGAATCAAGTCACCTCGCTTCATGGTGATCCGAAAAATGGATGGTGAAAAAAAAAAAGCTTTGTATTGTTTTCATGTCATCGATTAGCTGTTGATTTTTCTGTTCTTCCTCGATATCGATCTTAAAGTTGTCGAGACGGCACGTGTTACAGAGTTTGATATGAATCCTCTCAGTAACTAGATGCGTTAGGTTTGTGTTTTCATATGTTCATCAAGAAATAAACAATGGTGATGGGGGTTGCAGAGTTTGGAAAGTGAAAGATATGACGTCATAACTTCATGTATGCTCATATGTATTGTTCTTTGTTTTCATATATAATGGTGAATGCCGTTATTAGCATGCTGCTGTAGGGTGCATAATACTTTATGGGCAAAAACCCAAATGATTTTTACACGCCTTTTTTCTTCTCAAACCCTTTTTTTTCTCATCTCTTTTGACACGTTTTTCTGACCGTTAAATTGAACAAATAAAAAAGGTGAAACAAAATATGCACGGATTCTCCGGAAAATCTTTAGTCCATTTTTAAGTGACGTTATTGTCACCTCCCAAACCTTTGCACCCGAACTGACCAAAGTGGAGAAGAAATATGTGGACGAAAACTAAATACTAAAAACTAAAAATCGTAAACAATGTTCAGTAAAATAAAAAGCCGAAAAATAGAAAATGCTCGGTAGAATTTCCCTCTTTCCTTCCTCCACTATGTCTACTTATTTATCCGCAATGGTTATCAAACGGGTCAGAAAATATTGACGGATTTATGAAAATAACCAAAAGAGGCTTTCTTATGGGTTTATAAAGAAATGATAGAAGACATCAACTGAAAAATGAGGTGAACTGCAAGTACAGTAATAATCCCGACTGTGTCGAGATGGCAAAGTACTTAAATTAAACCCAGATGTCTATTCAATTTTCTACCTAACTACATATTTCCATTATTTTACAAATTTATAAGGTTTCGTAACTTTCGGGCTTGCGAATCTCTCGTTCGGAGTTTTCAACGTGCTGCTTCATTTCAAGCTGCATAAGACTCGAGGAGACTCGAGGACAGTATATACTACGCGTTTAGGAAGCTTCAATCAAAGATCTCCTGGGCTTCGATTATGCTATGCTGGCTGGAAAGAAGAGGGAGTTAGAGAAGTTAAGAGTGGCACCGCATAAGAGATGCGTACAAATATAAAAGGAAAGACATCCGAAGCAGAAGTTTAAAATGTTAGCCATACTGATCATCCTTCGCCACCCGATAATATTTTTCTGCATGCTGGCGCTGGCCAATTAGTTGAGCGAAACGCTCATCATGGGTAATTACTATCAGCTGAAAGTTCTCCTGGCCCTTCCGGTCCTCCATAATTCTGCAGAAAGGATAAATGGGCAAATGTGAATTGAGAATCCATTTGCTATTTGAGAGAGAATGTGGTCTGCCTGTACCTATGGAGAGCAGCGGCAAGACTATCAGCATTCGGGCCATCCAAGTTTGTAGTTGGTTCATCCAGTGCTAGTATTCCGCAGTTGAGGCAGAAAGTTTCAGCCAAAGCCAATCTTATGATGAGGGAGGCAAGGACCTGAACCCAAAACACAGGTTTCAGCTTTCCGTTTCACATAATATGGTAGTATGCTAAGTGAAGCGCTTAAAGATTATTTACCTTCTGACCAGCACTACACCTTCCTCTCATTTCAAGCTCTGTATCACCAGTCTGCATGAGAACCTGACATTATGCAGTGGCGACAATGTAAGAACGGGCCAAGAATTTAAGGGGCTGTTTCTTTTTCCTTCTTGGATCCAATTTTTAGTTTTCAAAAGAATGTAGCTAAATTATTTATTACTCATTAGTTTCAAAAATCAAAAATTGGATCCAAGAAGGATAGCGAACAGGCGTAAAGGATTTGCAAGAACTTTAAAAGAAAAAAGGTAATACCTTGTAACTGTAAGAACGAGTCCCAGCACCATCAGAATCTGAGTGTATACAGATGTAGTCTATATCTTGTCCTCTGTATGTTTGCTGCCACAACTCTCTTATAATTTTATTTATTTCCTCCATCTTCATGCTGTGGAAGCGCATTAATGCTCTGAAGAAAGAGAAAAGAAAGATCAGAGATCACATTATAACGAAGACGTATGCAACATTATAACAAACATGTGTGCCAGAGAGCATTCACCAATTGAGCTTTATTCACACATACACACAGACAACAATATGAATAATAAGTCGGTGAGACCGATTTATTACTCATAAATTTGAACACCATGTCGTGCCTGGTATAGGCTGATTTTGTGATACAATCTGCTTCATACCTATGCCTTATTGTGTCGTGTCATACCTAATGGGGTAGATATTTGACTGTAAATAGGCACTTATACCCATGAATGCACAGTAAGTGAAGGCATAAGTTGTGTTACGTCTGTTCAGCATAAGCCATACTCATGTTGACCCAAGTTCGCTTTACACCTTTAGCACCAAGATATATGGTGGGGCATAGCCTAGTTGATCCCAAATTCCCCCTACCCAAAATGTCCCATGATCAAACAAGAAAATAAATTAAAAAACCCAGAACAGGTGCAAGAAAAAGAAATAACAACTCATGATGAGATTAGTGGGAGTAATTGATGATAATATGATAGCAGTGGATGCTTAGTACCAGTTCATTTGACAGGCAGTACTATGGTGCCAAATAAGTATAATTTCTCCAGTGACCAATTTCTTGATCTGGAGAGGATATCGCACAACTAACAATGAAGGTAACAACCTATATCGCCACCACAACAACCAAAGACATTGATAGTGTTGGGAGTACTGACTTGTTTCGAGGAAAAGGAAGGAGAACAAAGAGTTAAATGAATACGGAGAATGCAGCGAAAGAATGATGCCCTATAGTACAAAGAAAATTCAGCCTAAGAGAGTGCTGAACAACATGACACGAAACAAACCATAAAAAAACTAATTCTAGAAGTATGTCGATATTCAACTACCATCTTTTTTTGGGTTGGAGTTAAAATTATGACACAGCAGAGTAATTTGGAGAATTAATCCTCAATTTAAGTAAGAATTTTGTGGTTAAATAATCAAATTATGAAGATTCATTATATCTGATTCCAGAAGCTCACTTGTCAAGCGCATTGTAGTATCTGTCCAGGTCCTTGTTTGCCATCTCAGTTGTCTGTCACAAAACAATTAGACTAACAATAGAAATATATGAGTAATAAGGAGAAACATTTCGCGATTTATGAAGATGCCATACCTTTAGCTGGATTAGCTGATCAAAGTACCGCTTGTCAATGTCCTTGTAATCTGGGTTTTTGAGATCAATTTTATGCTTTGAAATTTCGCTCTGGTGAGCAGAAATGATCCCATCATTCTGGTTTAACTGCCATAAAGGAAAGTTCTCTAAATAAAAAAATCGTAATTACGATATAAAGAAAAATGGAAATAGAATCAACACAGAAGTTTCTACAAGAGATGCTATATAATTATATTTTAAATGATATCCAGCATGCAATAAAGACCACATTTAAGTCATTTTCAGCTCTTGGACTTCATACCTTCTATGTATAATGTTGAATTAGAAACTAGAATGGTCACCAACAATCACATTTATATGCACAAAATTCTGGATAAGTGAAAGATTTAGAGTGGAGATCTTTTAATGTTTAAACTTGCTCCCATCTTTCTTATCTTAAAGACCTTTTATTTGGGAATTTTAAATGAAAAGAATTTAAACAAAATGTGAAAAGTGCAAAAAGATACCACAGCCATACAACTATGTTTACTGCACTTTCAAAATTTCTGTTCTTTCTATCCCTACTTATAGATTCAGTTCTATTCTTTCTCAAGAAGTTTTTAACAAATATGGCTGTAATTGAGATGAATATCACCTAAAGGTTACTAGCCATGCTTAAAGTGGCAACAAAATATAGAGAGATATGTGTGAAACTATGGATACCCTTTTCAGAAACTCCTCCCTCTCATGAGAGAGCTTTTCAAGTTCAGCTTGAACTTTGGGCTTCCGACCAATCTTCAGCATTTTGTCTTCCAGTGACTCAAGCTCACAGGTAAGTTCCTCTACTTCAGCTTTCGTTTTCCTGTAACTCAAATTATCCTCAATATTTCGTCTTACCTGATCTTGATTCGCTCTTAAATCTTTGCTTTTGTTCAACTCAGCTAAGATTTCCTTCTTTCTAGTTTTACAACTTTGAAGTTGAGATTCAAGCAGATGTTGCTTTTCTTGGATTTCCTGCAACTTCTCACCTTTCTTTGAATCATTATACCTGGTAGGAGAATAAAAAATTGATAGAAAAGATCAATGGTACAAGATCCTTAAAAACAATCACTCAAAACTTACTCTTTAATTTTCGAATTAATCATATTTAATGCCTCAACTTCCTGCTCGTATTCTCTTTTTCGTTCAGCTTGCTCATCATATTCGCGATTAAGTTTAACTTTTAAGTCATTGTGGTAGCCAAGTAATTTATCTTTCTCCTTCGATAAAGGGCGAAGAGACTCTGCCAAAAGCTGAAAGTTCAAAATACGTCATTATGCATTAGAAAATAGAAAATCAAAACTCCGATCACAAGGAACACATAAGTTGATAAAATGTAAAACAGATGAGCTAGGAACTGTTGGTAATCGAACATGGTAAAGTACTTCACAACTGTTACTTATTCAACATGTGGTCTAAATTCAAATAAACTTTAGCCCTCTTCTGAAAATAGTCAAAAGTACTTCACAACTCCTAGAAAATATTTCTTTCAATAAAATGGATCACCTGCTGTTAAACTCTTTCCAGATTCATTCCAGTACACCACAGCAAGAATCAAGATTTTTTTTTGAACTAGTGTATCCTTGTCTTTGACCCGACTAAAAGTCCTTTCATGCCCACTTTATAAGACATCAAGAACAGATATCATCCCATACACAAAGCAAAAGCACTTTAAACAAGGTTGATTAGTGGCAGCACATACTTGATTTCCTGTGATAGATCAATCTTGATTTTTATGTTTATTTTTATCATGTAAATCAGTTGTATTGATAAGAAAGAAGGGCAAGAAAAGACCCCAGTAAACAGAACATAATTTTACCAAGTGTAAGGAATCTCTGATTTTTCTTCCCCTGAGAATCAATTGACTCTAAACACACCTACCGCCTAAATTTCTAGCACTTAACAATTCCAAGATAAGTTTGAAACATATTTCTTAACTGATAAAGCAACTTCTTCAACCTTAAGCCCAAAAGTGAAGACTATCCAATAGTTAACAGCTCTAAAATATGAAAGTTTTAGAATATATCACCATGCCGTGTTCCTTGCCAATTGACGATAAAGAAAAAATGTACTATTGAAGTTACCAATTGTGTTTCTCAGACAGAATATGCTCGGCTTTTTATGTGCTGCTATTATTATTAGATACTTTCTTAGTTAAACCTTTGAAGCCCAGTAGCTTTTCCATAATATATAGATAATGAAAATAACCTTTTCATCAAGATCAACTCGATTCTTTTCTTCGGTCAAACGCTCCAACTCTTCTTCTGCCCTTTTGACATCGGACAATAAATTAGCTGCTTTGATTTTCTCTTCCCTTACGTTGTGCCACCGAGTTTTGACCGTGCTCAAATCATCTTGCAGGTCCATTTGTTCGCTTCTCAACTTCATTACTTCTCTATGCAAATTATCCCTGTATCCACAAACAAATTAACCAAAATAAACAAAATATAAAAATGATTAAGCATTGCACGATGTCAACAAGAGTTCAATTTTAAGATCAGAATCTAAATGCTGGAGACTAAGGCAAATAAATGTAATTTCCATCTTTTTTTATTTATTGATCAAATATTCTGATAACAAGAATAAGCCAAATCATTAGATATTGAGAAGTTATACTTTGTCTCAAGCAGATTATCCAGCTCCGACTCAATATCTTGCATAGATCTCGAACCATGTCCTTGTTCAAGTTTATGTGCCAGCTCATCAACTAGCTTCTGTTCTCTTTGTATATCTTGAAATAGTCTGTCAGCATTTTCAATGGGTTCCATCAGGGCCTGAATCGAGTCCTTTTCAGCCTTTACTTGAGCCGAAACAGCTAACACCTACAAGATCAAAACAGAAGGTACCTTTATTGGAAAGATTTCGTGGAAAAGAAAACAGCAAACTTCTATTTTTCAAATTATGAATTCAGGCAATACAAGACCATAGAGAATTACTAGATAAGAGCTTATAGAAGAATCAAGTAAACAATTTTTGGTCCAATCCCTTATGGCCATTAGTCTAATTGTCACTCGGAAACAGCTTCTAACAATATCGGCCAATGATTCAGGGCCTGCAGGAGTTTAGAATCTTAATCTGAATGTTTTCAGCTGAATAGTCAACACAATCAAAATAGAAATATCAAGCTGCATAAGCTAGTCACTTTGATTTTTATTTTTTCATGCAACCCAATATGAATGAGAAACAGAGAGGGTAAATGCGCAGTGGTAACAGAAAACAATGTTTCTTAATTTTTTTAGGTTCAATTTCGGCGATGATAATGTGCTACCACATGTGCTTATTGGCCGTTCGCTGTTGGCCCCTGAATAAATGGTTCGACCATTATATATGAAAGCAAAGTGTAATCAAATTAATAATTACATCATCAAGGGCCTGAGACTTTTGTTCCATCTCTTGAGTAAGGTCATCCAGTTCTCTCTCTGCATTGGGGATTCTCTCCTTCCCAATGTTAACATATTCTTCATAAACCATGCGAAGCCTGTCCAATTGCTGAAAAAAAGAGTCAGCAGTCGAGGACTCTGCAGCCAGCACTTTTAATTTCTCAGCAGAACTTGCAGCATTCATTCTTTGCTGTATAAGAAAATATTTTCCAATTTTAGTCAGATAATATTCCAGGAAAAAAACAATGAACCTGTTTAAAAAATATGAATGGTGATGTATCCCAACCTTTTTAACAAATTCGTCTTCCTCTTGTAGAGAAAAAGGTCGTTCACAGCAAGGGCAAATATGATTGGCACGGGCAACTCTTTCAAATGGATCAAACATTTGTCGCATACCATCAGCAAAATTGTATTTCCTACAGACGAGTCACCAGATTCAGAGGTAAAATTGGAAATATGCTGAACATGTTGATAGAGATGCTATTAGTTATCACTTAATATTAGCCTACTACTAAAAATTCTAAAAACAAGTACCTTTTCTCGACATCTCTTTTCTCCTTGGCTGAATCCAAGACTGTAGGATAGTAATCAACAGTAAAAGATTGCTGATCTAAGGCCTGAAGTTTAGACTCAATATATCTCCTCTTTGCTGCATTAAAGCAAATAAAAAACTAGATATAATTTTAAGGGAATACATAAGTCAGAGCATGGGAGACAATGGAAAAGAATATCTGTTTATTATCCTTAAATCTCATTTCCTATATTCAAAAACTTATGTAAAGGGAAAATCTTAGTCAATTGGATAGCACCTAGTGCTCTACTACATCTTCCACACTACTCAAAAGAAGGAAAAAAAAGGGTGTATGTGTGAGCGCCAATGGCTTACATCAAGTCAGTCTTAATTAAATCAGTATATAGTATCTTATACATTTATAAGCAAGGTCAACTTGGTAAAAAGAACTAATGTGTGTAAACAGTGTTGCAAAGTTTATGCAATGGTTCAATAAATAAAATTTGATTGCACCTGAATTAAGAACAAAAAATATTATCATAATATTAAAAAGATCAAATACTTACAGTCCATATCTTTCCGATGCTTGTAGATGTTATTGTTAATTTCTTGTATTCTTGTCTGCAACATATTCACCTCATTCTCCGCTTCACGAGATTTGGTGCTCAAGTCATCAAACTCCATGGTAACAGCACTGCAAGGAGAGCATAATGAAACATACCCCCAAATAATGAAAAACTCAAACAGTCTTGAAACCCATTAAAAATCCAAAACCATAAATTCAGCAAGTTTTAAACCCTGAAAGTTGTAACTAAGTGGAAGTTTGAGTTCTGTCATCATAAGTTTGAGCTCTGTCATCATTCTGCATGTCCATAGAGGTAGCAAATTGTTCTCATATGTCCAGAAAAAGCTTAAAAACCAGGATTTTCTTCCAATTTCTTTTTTTTTTTTTAAATTTTATTCTTTATTATACTATGATTTCACATTTTGAAGCAACAATCACGTTGGCTGAAACCCCAAACTATGAAAAAATCCCTTTCACAAATCAGAGACGAGATTGGCTTTTAAATGTTCTGATCCCCTGTTTTAAAACTCATACTCTCCCAAAATATGACCAACAGCTGCTTATATAATCTATATGATAATTATGCCGAACACTTTACTCCTCAAACGTGACCCAACCTTCTTTCCTAACCAGCCAAGTAACTGATGGAAAAGCTCATTCTTCTCAACATATATCTCTCAGCATAAAAATGCATGGAACTTATTCTGGGAAACTGATCAGGATACCAATGGAAGTAAAATTAACAAAACGAAAATCACATAATAGACTGCAATTCATAAACGCATCTTAAATTGATATGCATAGAACAAAATAAAGAGAAAATGTTAAACCATTAATGGAACATAAAAGGATATCCCAAATAGAGAACGAAAACCACTACAACAGCATGCTGACATCAAATATCACTAAATAAGCTTGAAATATGAATCCAGAAGCAAGAAAAGGAAAAATTGTGACTCAACATCCCACTGCATGATGAACATTACGCAATCATGATTTCACATTTAGGGTGACAAGCAGCGGAGCATTTTTAAGATGTGATAAAAAAAATATGGGACAAACCTCAAGACTTGACTGATTTCGCCTCTCAAATCCTTCTCTGGAGGAAACCTCCCTTTTAGCACTCCTCTAACTCTCTCCCTGTTTTCATTAATACTGGAAAGTATAATAAAGGGACATTATAAGCATTGGAACAGGGATACATATGAATAACACAAGCTAAGAGAGAGGGAAGAACAAAGAGACAGAATAGGTTTACATCTTTCTATGTTGCCTTTTACGATTCTCCAAATCATTCTTCTTCATAGACAGTTTTGTTCTGTCCTCCATATCAACAGCCATGGCAGCTTTCTCTTTCTTAGCAACTGTAATCATTTGCTCAATGCTAAACATCTCATTATCCTTTTGGCGTATTGTTGATTCAAATTCCCTTTCAGCATACTGGTTTGTCTTTCTCTCAAACTCAATATGCTACAATGACAAAGAAGAATTACTTGCATGTACCTTGGCCCCATTATTTAAACCTAAGATTATGAATCCCAATCGAGACTACTAAGCTGTCATCCTCACCATATTCTTTTCTTTTTCATCAATGTGAGAGAGATCAACATTTGAAACTTCAAGTTCTAAAGAATCACGCTCATTCTTTTTTTCCTCTATGCGCTTCAGAAGGCCATTCTGTATGAGTCACAATTAGGAACGCCTACACAAAACATGAGAAAAATACATTTGGGAAGCAATCTAGTGAGTCTTAAATGCAAACCCTTATTTCTTCTTTAGCTTCTTTCTGAGCCTCAATAGACTTCCAATGGTCTTTTGCATCATTGTAGCAGTCCCATGTTGTCTCAAGTTCTTTTTCATTTGACCTCTGAAATAACATCCATTTTAGTCAGTTCTTAACCAAATAATGGACCAAGCAGAACTTTGAGTTGTGAGAAAACTTTACTTTGAGGTGAACTAGTATTTACTTTGGTATTAAAGTCCACTTTGTGGACACCATGCCAAGCAATACAAACATACATCCGTCGTGGAATTACAAACATGGATACATCCCATGCAAATGCTCAGTTTCAAATAACAACTACCTTAATGAGATTTCTCAAGAAATTAATTTTAACACAAGATTATTCGGGTAAGCAGTCAAATCCAATGATATTTTCAATATGAGAGCCATCATAGTATAGCCACATCAACATTTTTGACTGAGACAGGTTTTTTGAATTATAATCGGAAGAACACTCTTTTGAATTCCAAGTTAGCTTGGGTTGGTAAGAGTTTTTTTTTTTTTTTTCTCTCTTATGATACTTTTCTTTTATTTTACACTTTCCATAATATTTGCTAGTTGGTCCTAAAGTTTATAAAAAGCAAAAGCACTTGAGCCACATAATCTCATATTAGTCATGACTACAGCTTTAGTTTCTAGCCATATGGTTTGGCTACATGTGACCTTGGTTGGTTTGCAGAGCCTCATAGCCTTACGGTCTGGAATAATCATTCAGCCAACAATGGGTGTTAGTTGGTGAGCTGGTTGGTTATGGCTCTAGGGTTGAAAGGATGGCTTGCTGCTAAATAAGTGTCTAACATGGGATGTTTGAGAGATGTTTGAGAGATGATTGGTCATTTGTCCTCTGGGATGACTGTTTCTTTCTTGCATAAGGAGGGATCTACCAGGGGACATGGTGGCTAAAATAGGCATTATGTCACCGCATAGCAGTCAGCCATGAAGGGAAGGAAACTTTTCAATCACGTCCTAGATTCTAACTATAAGATATTTTCAAGAAATCTAATTTCAAGCCCAAAACCTAAGCACAAGGCCCACACCTTGCATTTGCCTACATTTGGGAGCCTACTTTCTTAGCCTGCAAGGAGTCTCCAAATGGGCACTTCATGTCGCATTTCTTACCCTGCAAAGATTCGCTAAAATGGGACTCCTTGTCGAATCCCATATAGTAAAAGACCATTAGACGAGTCTCATTCCAAATATATGATGAAGCATAGCTACGGTGACAAATTCCTCAAACACAAAATGTCATCTGCTTTTCTCATGTGAGCAAAACACTTTGAGGGTTCTCTTGGTTGTTTTACTCCACTTGCATCCACACCATTTTCACGTGAAATCATTCTTAGAGGATACAAGCTTCAGGTGGGCAAACCTACCAAGAGCCATAGGTGAGCTTGTGTCCATCAAAGAACAAAAAGTTATTGGTATAGTAATGTTGAAAATCCTAATAATAAACCATAAAATAGAGTAAATTACATTTTGCACCCTCAACTTTGGGTTGCATAACAAACTCATAAAGCATAAACAAAAAAAATTATCGGTATATACTCTTAACTCAATGGTTCTAGATACTTGGTGGTCTACTAATGTTGAAGATCCTAAAAATAAACCATAAAATATAAACAAATTCCTGCTAGGACTGCTGATACCAAGTTTCCAGGACGTACATATATAGGAGGAAAGAATTCAAGATACAATCATCCATTAGGATTAAAAAGATGGCATGGAAAGAAAGGAGAAGTTACCTTCTTATCTTGCAAATCCTTTTCTAGATCCAACAATCTTGATTTTATTCGATTGGTGAGGTTCAGTGCAACTTCATTGCTGAAGGGAGGATTTGGAAGAGCACCCAAATTGTGCCTTGAAAAGAGTTTTTGAATGACAGAATCTCTCTCATTCTTTGAGCACAAATGAACCTGAAGTCAAAAATCAAAGATTAACATAGAACCATTTTCCATGGTTCAATAGATTTTTAGAATATTAAAATGTATGTAATTCATTTACTTCAGCTTCGTTTTCGAGCTTGCTAATCTCCCATATAGATGCCTTTAGCGTTTTTTCAAGGAAAGTAATTTTGCTCTCTGCGTCATTCTCTTCCCTCTCCAGCTTCCTGATTTTAGTTTCCAAAAGCGCAATCTTTTCTTCAAACTTGGTTTTCCATTCCTTCAATTCTTCGTCAGTGTCTGACCAATACACCAAAAAAAAAAAGGTGATATTCCCGTAAAGGCAGCATCAACAATATCCTCCATAAATAAAACATGAAAAAAGAGCAGCAGTAAAATTGAACTACTATGATCAACCAGAGACGGTTAAATGAAAACAAGTTACACAAGCATCCCACTACTGCTAGGTAGCTATACCTTCGTTCTCCTCTTCAAGAGCTTTGTGCTTCTCCTCCCGCTCGTTAACCAGGGTGCTTCTCACAGCACTTTTCTGTGATATCTGGTCCTCCAGCTTCTTCAAATCCTTTAGTTTCGTGTCAGTATACTGAATTTTAGTATTCACATCTTGGATCATTCCCTCCAACCCCTGCATCTCGCTTTTCAAAATATTTGTTTTTTCTTGAGCTTGAGAAATTTGCTCGCGAAGCTACAAACACAAAACCTCGTATCAGCAACATCAATCCCTTTAACGCACACATGTCAGACATTAAGCCCAAAATACCCTTTTTGTATCTTAAATAACCATGATTTCTAATAATTAAAACAAAGAGAGAAACTAAGGGACCCAAGTGGAACTTCTGTCACATAGAGCAGTGTTTTAAACAGACTAAAAGAGAAGGAAGAAACAGACACACAATGCAACTAAAAAAATAAGAATACAGCAGGATGGTCAGAGGAAGCTGTCATCAAAGGCTTGTGTTTAGTGAAGTTACAAAAGAAACATATTCTAGCCAAGCGGACATTCAATTTCCCAAGTACTTCCATCCATATTTATATGACCTATGTTCCATCGATACTTCAGATTTTGGGCATACCGAGTACCCAAATGGATACAACCCTGATGTGGCAGGATACAGATCAGATATGTCATTTGGAGTGTCCATTGACTTTTTGACACTAGGCTTTCAGATGCTTCAATGCCATGCAATCAATATGGTTGATATACCAAAAGGGTATTTTGCATTTCTTTTCACATAGAAACGGGGACTTATTGCGATTTAAAAAATTAAGTGATCTCACAGACTTGGAAAAGTTGTCTATGATCCGTTAGAACAACAAAAAATGCATATCAGAATTATCACAAAAAGAATTAAATTAAAGAAAGGACTAGAAGAACCTTATATGCAATATCTTTTTTGGTTTGAAGATTCTCCAACTGTAGCTTGTAGGTCTTTATCTCTTGAGCTTGATCCTTGTGAAGTTTTTTAATTACCTCCAATGCCTTAGTATATCTGATTAAGTAGCAGATGCGCATGAGTGATAAGTTTGAGCAATCGTCATCAAAGAGTAAAACAAAATCAAAGTACAAAATTAATGAAAAATTAGGGAACTTGCCATACAAACAATCGAATGCATACATACATGTATCAATGAAATGTTCATACACAAATTAAACTCAACTATGGAAAAGAAAGACAAACAAAAACATCGAATGAACAAAAGACAATACCGGGTAGCAGAGAAGATATCATCAAACTTCTTCTTCAATGTTGAAGGATCCTGCAAAGGCCAATTGGCTTCATCTTGGTGCACAAATATAACATTTTCCAAGATAGCCTTTGATACACCCATTAAAGCAGGGATTTCCCTATCCATATCGGCACATCGATAACTAAGGCAAACTTTCTGCAACTCAAAAACAAAGAATAATCAACAATCTCCACAAACCCCGAAATTCGAAAACCATACTAATTTGAAGTTTTGATTGAAATTTCAAAAGGCGGTTGTAGTTGTACCTCTCCAGTGTGGGGATTAATGGTCTGAAGGACGCTGTCGATGGCCTTGAACTCCATTTTCGAGGCTTTCTGCGTGAGCTGAAACGACCTAATGCACACCACATCTTTGCCGGCGGCGGTCCTGAAGCGGAGCTTAATCTGGGCTTTGGTCTCAGTTTCACCGGCGACCTTAGGGTCGTGGACGAAGCTGTGGCCGGAGCGAGCGTTGGGAGGCAACTCGCCGGAGCAGGAGAGCTTCAAGCACTCGATGATGGTGGTTTTGCCGGCGCCGTTGGGGCCGACGATTAGGGTTAAGGGCTTGAAGAAGGTGATGACGTGCTTGTTCTCCGGGTCGAAGCTCCGGATTCCCTTTATTAGCATCTTGTCCACCGTACTCATCTTCGCTACTTCTCTTTCTACTCATGCACCAGAGGAGAGAAAGAGATAGAGGGAGGAGGGAAGAGAGAGAGAGAGAGAGAGAGAGTCGGAGGGAAAGCACAGCGGAAAAGGGCGGGACTGATAGTCTGAGGGTGACAGAGGCCGAGTCTGAACTATGGACTGGGCCATGTTAGAGCAACTCCAGTCCAGCCCAAAAAACCCCTCTACACTTAGAGCAAGTTCACCCCTAAAGACTTTGTGCCAGCACCCAGCGCATTTATCTACTTAAATGAACAGTAATAACCCTCAGTGAACAGTAATAGGCTAAAGCATCTCCACCCCTAAAAATACGTTGGCACCCAGCCCATCTAATATTATATTATTTTATTCATAACAATTAATATTTTATCATTTAATTTATTTTTTCTTCTTTCTTCCTTTCACTCTCCGGTCCTTTCTTTCTCTCTCTCTCTCTCTCTCTCTCTCTCTCTCTCTCTCTCAAATCGTCGTAGTCTCTGGAAAAAATTTCAAGCGAGCAGGAGAAGTAGAGAGAGTGATGATCAGGGGTTTCGACAACGGATTTGCAATTAGAGCAGAGAGGGTGGCGGACGTGGCGGGCGACGAGGAAGTTGGCCTGGTGGACGCGGGCGTCACAGCGGGAGCAGAGGAAGGCGGAGTCGGAAAGGCAGTAGAAAGAGGCTTCCTGGTCGCAGAGTTCGCAAGCCCTGAAAAATTTCTTCATTTCTTGATTTCCGGCGGAGAGCAGAAGAGGAATGGAAGTTCGAAGACGATTTGGGAATTCGGGGAGGTGGTGCGGTGAGAGGATATGTGGGTGTGGCGAGGGGGATTATATAGAGAGAAATGCGGTTATGGAGGATGAGAAGGTTGTGTGTGAGTTATGTGGGTGTAGCCATGACGTTAACATGGCGTCAAATGAGCCGTCTTTTTCCTCTGTCGATTTTAGGCCGGCCTGTGGACTGGCTTGGGTTGGATGCCAGTCTATTCCAGGGGCTGGAGTGAATTGGCTGAGTCCCAGCTTGTATTTTCCACTGGGTGCCGGGCTATTCCACCTCCGATGGAACTGCTCTTAAAAAAATAGGCTGGCATCCAAAAAACCCCTCTACACTTAAAAATAGGCCAGCCCAAAGTCCAAGCCAATTTGTAGGCCGGCCCAAAATTGGCTGAAGTAGGAACCGACCTATCTGAAGTCATGCTTACGCCAACATGACGTCAGTGGACAACACAAATTTTTTTTGCGTCAGTCGCGTGGGCGTGCATCCCCGACAAGGCGACAAGTGACGGGCCAGCGTTGCAGGTGCACTAAAGGGGTGCGGGACATGGGCCACGTGGCTAAGCCTCAACTGTTGGGTTTCCAATAGTAAAAAAAATTTGATATTCAAACCCAACGGCTAGTGACATGGTACAATTTGGACCGTTATATTAGTATATTTAATTTTAAAGGTGGAGATGCACTTGCCCAATTACTATTTATTGCAGTTAATTACTATTCATTTAGATGGATTAAATGAACTTTGAGCAATCTCATTTTTTAGGGGTGAAGTTGCTCTTAAACTCTATTGAGCCCACATTTCAAAAAAAAAAAAAGATTTGAGTCATTTATATGTTTCACACATTTTTGATAAATTGAAAAAATAATTTAACATGAGTGTTTGAGTACAACTTAGGATTTAATGAAATTTTTCTTCACTTGTTGTACATGACATTTTAGGTTTGATCTTGTCAAAAAGCAATTTTGAAGCATATTATTACTGGACCATGATAAACTTTTAAGATCGATTCTGGTTAAAAACAAATTTGTTGCATAACTGTTGCTTCTTCGCAGAAGTGCTTTTAAAATCCGAAAAGAATTTGATCTAAACCGCCCTCAACTATTTCAAAACCACTGTTCAAAATCTCTTTGAATACAAAGTGACAGAAAATGCGAGGAATGGTGGTAATGTAGTAAATGGATCGCTCCCAATCCGAACAAGATGGCCACCAAAAGCAAAAGCAAGACCACCACTTTATGGAAATCCCAGAGTTGGACGACGATCCCTTCACGGAAGAAGACCTCCAAGCCATTGAAGCCGCATTCGAAGCTGCGACTTCCTCTCTCCCCAAAAAGCGAAGCTCCAGTCCAGAAGACGACGGCCCCGACCACAAAACCCAGCAACGCCGCCAGTCCCAGAGTGCCCGACGCCGACTGCGCAATTCAGTTCTCGCTCTCCAGCATCCAAACGCATTCCTTCTCTCGCCTTGCCGTCAAGGTCCGTCGCCTCACTTCCATTGTCTGTAAATCTTGATATTTCAGTGTTTCTTTTTATTGAAACCCTAAATTAGTGTAGAGGGTTAAATCTGTTTAAACATGGCGTAGGAAATGTACCGAATTTACAAATTAAATTTTTGGAGTAGGAAGGCACCTGTCAATTGTCAGAAATCAGTAGAAAATGTGGGTTTATGTTTATCAGGTAATGAGCTTGAGTGTTGGATTTGGGGATTGCAGATGAGTAGGAAAGTAGCATAATGGCTTTAGTTTCGACATTTTGTGCTACACCGCAGCAACTGAAGTCTGTGTGAGACAGATTCTAGCTAGTCTTGTGAAGCAGGGGAGGCTACAACACTAAGCTGTTCAAGATGATTGAAAGAAATTGGAGTTCATGAAGTTGGTAGTACTAGTACAGTTCGTACAGCGGATTAGTACGAATCTATTTTTAAAGTGTTAGCCCAATTTGCTCCTCACTTGGGCCCTGTTAGATTTCTATGAAATTTGACCTGTCCACGATGAAGCATCATAATATAAAAATGTCAAATCTGAAGATGACTTTGTGGTTTGAGTTTGTGGACGTAGCACGGGTGGTAGAAATGTATTGTGGGGGTGGGGACAGTCATAGGATCTGCGAGCAGAAAATCCTAAATAGTGTTATTAGATTCCGACTTCCAAGTGAGAAGAAGACAACTAAGAACTTTAAAAGGTTAAGAGGAAGAGAGATTGATGCTAGATGACACCTAGAATTTATTTGATTTGCCAGACCCTGCGTAAAGCGGGAGCCTTGTGCACTGGGTACGACCTTTTTTGCCTAGAGTGCAGGCAGGAAAAAAAAGGCAACCTTATTGGAAGAACCATGCATGCATCAGGTCTTGCATGATGAATGATTGTTGCTTCCTTGGTGGTTTTGGTAGCTAATGCTCATCATTTTACTTGCTAATTATTTAACTTATCAATTATATGAGCTTGGCCATATGGATTTATCGTCTTCCATCATAATTTGTATTATATGCCATATCTTATTATATCAAATTATATTTAGGTCTTGACTTTTGTTAGATTGTTGTGTCGTTATTCTATTTGTCCAACACTTTTTCTCATACAACTAGATACTCAAATATTGAGAACACATTTATAGTATTGCTCAGAAAGATTCTAAAGTGTCCAAATCATTGTTAAGAGACGCCCTCCTACCAACTGCGAAACTGCATGAATTTGCATGGATGACTTTACTACCCAGTCTGATGGGACAACTGAAACTTGGCTGTTAATTTTCTCTTGCTATAGTTGCGAGTCGTAACATGATCTATGATAACAGTCACAGAATTTGTGCAGAAATCCTTTCCTGTGAGAGTTATGACACTTTTGACAGATTTGATCCCCTTGGAAAAATTCCACCTCAAAAGGGATAAATTGGACCATCAAACAAATTATGTAACAAAACAATATTACCTTGATACTTGAGCAAGGGTTTTTAACAATTTGACACTGTTTCAGTGCAGTTAGTTTTAGGATTTGGCATGATCCTTATTTTTTCAAATGTAGTTGGGTGGAATTATAATGGCAATCAAAGGTTTTGCCCACTTTTAGTGTGTTTTGTTTGCTGGCAAATGTTGTACTGTGCATAAACATTTGATTATCATTTCCGAGCATCCTTTTTGATATTTAAATTAGTTAGTTTTTCATAATACTTCAATATCTATTTCCTAAAGCAGCCAATGCAAGGATGAAATATCCCGTGATGATGTTTGGAGGTGAGATTAAATATAGCAGAACTGCAGTTGAAGTAGAGAAAGCTGCCTTGGAGATTTTAAAGAATTTTCAAGCAAAGAAAAAAGCAGTGGGTCAAAATGCAATTGGATTTGACATCGAGTGGAAACCCACATTTAAAAGAGGTTCGTAGTTCTTTTAGGCATCATATGTATTTTATTATGATTTTTTTGGTTTCTTGATAGATTTGTCAATTCTTTCTTTAGTTCCATCATGAAAATAGAATTGACTCATAAATCACATTGGCTTGAAGATATAAATTGATAAACCTGAATGTGGCAACCTGTTTCACAAGGTACAGATGGTGTTGTTGAAGATCCAAGTTCTGTCTCTCTGCCATATTTCCTCCCTTTTCTTATTCAAGATGTTTATTTTCAAAAACCTAGTCTGTGTCTTCTTCAGCTTCCCTATCCTACTTTTCATATTGTTAAGAATTCTACAGCCATAGGCCAAGGAGGAAGAGAATGTTCACAAGGGAAAATAATCCCACAAAGAAGAGAACCTCCAGTTTTATTTAGTTAGAGCCAACACAAATGCTGAAGCAAAGTTTTTATTGGTTTGGCCTTGATTGCAACTTCCCACAACCCCCCCCCCCCACCACGCGCGCGGGCGCAGGGGGCCTTGAAACAGTGACATAATGGATATTTTAATGACTGTAAAAGCAACAGGGGGTTCCGTTACCTTTGATTTATTGTGTGTCTTTTAAATGGAAGGGGAAGGAGGGTTTCTTTTGTGTTATACCTTATGTATTTGATGAATCATGACGATAATTCCTCTGGAAGGCAGAGGGGTTTCCTGAACCCTTGCTATATTTTATGCATTTGAAAAATGATGGATTTTTCAGCGAATACTAAGAATGTTTAGTGTTTTGGCTGTTGATGATTCATTCTTTTTATGTACTCTAGGATTTTTCCGTTATTTCTTTTAATAATCGCCTCATTTCTTGTTTTGATCATAACTCACCCTATATATTGTAGTTGTACTCAAGATTGATGATGATTGTCCAACGTCATTTCATATATGATTTAAATGAGTTGATAATAGAAAAATGGTTATACTTGTTTTCACTTTCATTCTATATTAAAGTTGAAAAAAAGACCTGAAAACATTGGATGGTGCAAGTCACATTATCAAACTTAACGAAATAATGAACGGAAATGTAAGAAGAAGAAAGAGAAAGTGAGCTACCTTGGGGTTGGGGTTGGGTTGGGAAGGTCTTGAGCTTGAGAAGGGACTGCGGGCATTACAGACTGAAGAAAACATCGGAAGTTGCACTTCCTTTCCAATCTGCTTTTCGACATGTTTCTGACAAATTTATGTCTTACAAACCATTTCTATGTTGGATTTATCCAGTAAAGTGTGAGCTTTTTTTTTGTCTGATTCTTGGAGAGGGGTTCAGTTTAGTTTTGTGAAAAAATGCAACTTATACTTTGTGGATTGCTTAATTGGGAAGAAACTGCAGGTGTTCCACCTGGGAAGGCTGCAGTTATGCAAATATGTGGAGGCACAAGTTGTTGTTATGTAATGCACATTGTACATTCTGGAATTCCTCGAAGTCTGCAGTTACTTCTCGAAGATTCTTCAATTTTGAAGGTGTGTAACATGTATTGTACAGACTTGCTGCATCTTGCCCAGATATATGAGATGTCTTTCTTTTCGTTTTCTTATTCTGGAACTTACATTATGTTACATTATTCTTATATAATACCTGATACAGGTTGGAGTTGGCATTGCCAATGATTGTCTTAAGGTTTTCAAAGATTATAATGTATCTACTAAAGCCGTAGAAGATCTTTCATATCTAGCTAAGCGGAAGGTTGTTGAAGGTCTGCAGAACTGGGGTCTTGCATCTCTAACTGAGAAGCTCATTTGCAAAGAGGTAATCATTGTTTTTTCTCTGCCATCAAATATTATTTTGTCGCTTAGATTCACTATTCTCAGCAAAACTACTGAGCGTAAGGAATCCCAGTTGCATACTCCTAAACGATTCTCCTTTACTGGATCTTTTTGCTTGAATTGTGCCGGATTGTAACATAATTTTTTCCTTCCTCCATTATTTCCTGTATCTTTCTAAAATTCTCCTTAGGCTCTTTGTAGAGTACAGTGATAAATTCATGTAGGAATTGCTGTTAAAAACGTTGCAGCTTTTGAAGCCCAACAAAATTAGATTGGGAAACTGGGAGGCCAAGTTTTTATCAAAGGATCAGTTACAGTATGCCGCAACTGATGCTTTCGCATCATGGTACCTTTACGAGGTTAGTTGATCATCAAAACTTAAATTCTCTTAATCTGTGATCAAAGTAGAGGCTGTCGAAGACTCGAAACACGGGTGACTACTAAGCTGTCTCACTGTTAGGTGCTACTGGGCCTCCCTGATGCCGAAAAAGATACAGCCCGCACCAGAGTGAGGAACTGCGAGCTGTGTCATTGTGAATGTTGAGAGTCCCTTCTTAGTGCAGGTCTTTGGACTTCCAAGACTTTGATTCATGCCGTTGGTTTGCCATGACATGGGATTAATTTCGCAACGGTAATGATGTTCAGCGGGAGGAGAAATTTTTTAGTATGCCCGGAACACGGGCACCTACAGGCTGTATCGTTGTCTGGTAACATCAGAGTTTAGTTATAAAAGATATGCATGATCGTATAGTATCCTGATTATGCCTAAATACCTTTTTATCAAACTTTTTGTGATCCATTTCTTCATCATCATTCCCAAATCTCTTGGAATATGAAAGTTTCTCAACCGAACATTCCCTTAAAGAATTTTGTTTGACTACCCACGTCATTGTGTTGTACCTTTTCACATATCATAAGAGCAATTCCACCGGAGGGCTTTTTGCCCAGCACCCAGCCAAATAAATAGGCCAGCACACAGGGAATCCCATCCAGCCGACCCAATTGCCCAGCACCTAGCCTAAGCCGGTCTCTAGCCCAGTCCAAAATTGACTGAGGCGTGGCCCGGTCCATCTAGCCGACAGGTGGGGTCCGCGGCGCAGGCCCACTCAATTCTCAAAGGAGAGGCGACGTGTCACGCTATATGCCATTGGATTTCCAACGGCTAGTTTTTCTAGACCGTTGGATTTCTAATGGTAAAAAAATTTAAAATTTGACTTTTAAACTGGACCGTCTGATCACAGATCAACGGTTCACGTTAATTAACTAAATTATTATTTATTAAAAAATACATAAAATTTATTAAAAAATACATAAAATTAAAAAAAAAATTATTTTTTTATTTATAAATACCTAACCCTCATCTTCCACCTTACACCACATTTCAATATTTTCTACACTTTCTACCAAAGCTTTCATATACTTTTTGTGTGAAAAAAAATACCAAAAAGCTTGTGGTTGAAGAATAAAGTGTATTTGATGAGTTTATGTAATTTCATTTTACTGTGTTTTTTTTTATAGTTTATTTGATGAGTTTATGTAATTTTATTTTAGTGTGTTTTTTTTAAGTTTATTTGAAATTTTATCTGAAATTGGTTAAAAATTCTTATTCGAAATAAACTTAAAAAAAAAAACACACCAAATAAATGCGCTGGGTGCCAGTCTATTACTGTTCACTTGAGTGGATAAATGCGCTGGGTGCTGGCACAAAGTCCTTAGGGATGAACTTGCTCTAATATAAGTGAATTCGTGTAAATCTTTATATTTGAAGACATAAAATCAATAAATTAAACATATTCTATGACATAAGTGTATTAGTAACTACGTAATCGTGTTATAATCTAACTGTATTCGTAACACAGTGGATTGAAGAAAAAACCGTAACCACAATAACAATACAGCACCTACGGTGAAACATGTACCTCATTCTTAGTTCACTTGATAACCAAGACGTGTACGATACTGATCATTACTGACCCCTTACAATCATATACAGGACAATTCCACATCAAAAGGTATAATGTGCTCCAAATAGTAAACTTTTGGCGCTTAGTTTGATTTGTCTCCTTTCAAATGAGAACAATTTATATGACACGGATATCCCGTCACAATGATATTTCGTCCTAATAATAGTAAACTTTGGAGTTTGGTTAGATTTGCCCTATTCAAATGAGAACTTATATTACACAGGTATACTGTCATCATGACGTTTCATGTCAATAAAACAAAAACATATAGCATCATTGCCATAGATGTCTTTCTTTTTCAAGACACATATCATGTTGGTACATACGTTTGACGAAATTTTCTTTAGTACGCACCAGTGTAAGTTTGTTAACTCTTGACTATTAATATCTTGGATCAAGTGACTAAAACCTCCTAACTTTTTAGTGTCATTTCAAATTGGTCTCAACCATTTTAAACATTCTAAACAAGTGCCGACACTATTGAAATATCGTGTTCGTTACGTCCTAGTTAAATTTTCTATTAAATTAACAAGGGTTTACTTTGTTTCTTAAATCAATAGAAAATCATGGAAGCATAGCCTTGACCAATTAATTGTCACCACCACCTCCATCAGGCCATTACCTCCAAACCCATTGCACAACCACAACATAACCCAACAACTCAAGTCGCCAACATTGAAAAGAAGGTCATGGAGGTTACTGAAATGGTATAGACTGCCTGATGCGACCACCACTGTCTTCACCGTCCACAAAGAAGAACTAGAAACTTTACGAGTCGAGAATTGAGGAATGAGGAAATCATATGAGCAGAAACAAGCTCTTCGAAACCCTATTTGAATTCTTAACCCTTTTCTTTATTAGAAGATTGCCCCCTGCTATAATTTCAATTTCGGGATATTTTTTATTCAATTCAATACATGTTGATCATTGAGTTCCATATTATATAATTTATGTGTGAGATTTAGATTTTGAGTCAACTAATATTAACGTTGACTATGATATACTCAGTTAGTGGGTTTTGATTATAGAGGTTGGGATGGGCTTTTTGTGGTCGTAGGTTGAGCTTGGAGGTGGGGGGGGGGGCCTTGATATTTCCCGATCTTCATTTTTCTTCATGTCTTTTTTAAACTTATTTTTATTATTATTGTCATGTAAGCTAAAAAGTGGGATTCATTGTTGCAATATGTACATTTAACATAAAAATTAATTGGACTTGATGTGACATTTTCAATAAGTTTGGTACTTGTTTGAAATATTTAAAATGCTAAAACTAATTTACAGTGACATTAAAAAATGGGGTGTGCTATCCACACACCCCTTTTTACTTCTTCCACACCCCTTGTTAATTTTTGTCTTTTGATATTCTTCAATTCATCCGATCCGACGGCCAAAAATTAAAAAGGTGTGAGAGAAGTAAAAAAGGGTGTGGATATCACATTCCTAAAAAATTAGAGATTTTAGATACTTAGCCCTAATCCCTTTCATCACACATTTAATTTTTCGATCATACAATGCATGACATACACTGAAACATGTATAGTAGATTAATTATTTTGCATGTTATGTGGGCCTGATGGCCCCATACTTTACCGTGTGAAGACCACTTTCCCATTTGAAAGGGACTGAAAGATGCAAGTGACGAGTCCACTGCATGTGCGTAGGGCCTCTCGCGCTGAACAAATAATGGCCATGCATGCATGCCATGTGCTACCAACAGTAACATGTACTGAGTCGTAAAGTGCAATGCACAATGACAAGAAGAAAACCCCAATAGGGGAAGGGAAATATCGGACAAAATTTCTGCGTGTTATTCATACCGATAAAACGGATCGTGTTTATTGTTTTTATGTTATATCTATTATCTTAACGGAGAAAAGAAGAAAACCCTAATAGGGGGAGGGAAATATCGGACAAAATTTATGCGTGTTATTCATACTGATAAAACGGGTTGTGTTTGCCGTTTTTATGTTCTATCTGTTATCTTAATGGATCATGTCACGTTAAATTCGTATATTAACAAATTCTTAACATGTGATTCAATAACGACGTGATTCGTTAACGAGTCGTGTCGTTTCGTATTTAGTTAACAAGTTATGCTGACATGTATAATGTCTAGATCTGACAAATGATATCTTATTAGGTTCTTAACGCGTGACTCGAGAATAACACAACTCGTAACAGATGACCTGATAACGACTTGACTCGTTAACAGATTGACCCGAAACCTGTTAATTTTATATCATTTCATATCAGGTTAAAGGATCGTGTAAGAAATCTTGTCGGTTAATCAATCGATCAATCCTTTGATCTATATAAACATGGTACTACAATAGTTTTGAGGTTTCCACAAAGGAAGATTTTCGTTTTTCTTGTTGCAAACCCATAAAGGATGACGATTATCCTGGTGATTAAGGTCTTATTCTCAAAATTTATTGCACTCTGAGTTTAAACCCTCATTTTTGTTAGAGTAATTAGTGTAGAATATCGTTTGTATTAAAGAAAAAATGACAACTCTTTTTCTAGGGTTTTATGTAGAAAAAAGTAGTGTGTGTGTGTGTATATATATATATAGGAAATCTTTAAGGGAGGGATCTCTATTATTTTTTTTTTTATAAAAATGGGGATTAGTTGTGGAGTCCACACTAATTGAACTTTAATGATCCGAACTGTTTATTTTTCAAGTTGCATCTCATAGATCATCTTTACAAAATATTAGCCAAATCGGAAATATTTAAGACATCTAATTAGGTTCAAAGAAATTAACGAATAATTTGTTATGTAAGAAACAATGAAATTTTATCTTGATAATTAAATAGGCAAAAGAGTTCGGATTGAATTGAATTTTTGCAAGGATGATTTATGAATCAAGACTTACAAAATAAACGTTTCAGATCGCTAAAATTCGATGTGGAGTGGGCTCCCACACCTAATCCTTTTTTTTTCAAAAAACGGGGATCCTTTGCATATATATAAAGCTTACAACGCGTTGTAAGTTTGAACGTTGCTTGTATTGTGAATTGATTCGTGTCATAACAAGATGATTGAGCATGAATTATTCTGTATAGCAAATTAGTATATCTTCTCTTCTGGTTGGATTATCTCATTTTTTAAGAGTTTTCTTTGATTGCAAGTTTCGCTAGTTCTGTTTTGTTAGCCTCAAAAAAATTTAAATAAACCCTCAATGAAAGTCCTAGTTTTGTGTGTGTGTGGGGTAAATTAGTTTAATTAGAAATCCTTTTACAGAAGCTTCCTAACTCTCTGTATATATAACATACTAGAAAATTAGTTTAATCAGAAATCATTTAGCAAGTCAATATTATTCAAGGCATCTCATGATTTGTGTCGTTTATTGTTAGGTTCTCACAAAAAGAGAAGTCTGATCAAGTGATCTTGCATAGGAACCCTAAGGCATGGATAGAATCCTCATAAAAATACCACTAGGTCCTTGCAATGCTCTCACGCCCACACCAGCTAAGGACTGAACTGTCGACCTGATACCGACGAGACTTCCAAGCCACTAATATACCAGAAGTTTGCACTCCGATGAAACCCCTTCGACTTGCTGTTCTTCTTTGTCAACGCCTACTAAAATTCGTGCAAATGTAAAAATTATTTACTTATCTAACTTCGATCAAATAAAATAGATCACCAACACATGATTTTCAACAAATCATGAAAATATTTACGATCATAATTAAATGGCCAAACAATTATCGAGTCCGTTGAATCTTTTCATGGATAATATTACTGATAACCTAAAATTGAACAGTTCATATCTTAGAATAAACTGAAGACATAATAATTAAGGCGAGGAGATATTCAGGGGAATAATATCATCTTACTGTATATCATTTGTTTGTGAAATGTTTTCGATGTCCCAAAGGATCACCATTTTTATTTAATTTTTCCAAAATTTGA